TTCAAATGTACAATTCAATAATATATCAACTGTGTATTACATTGTGTGTTCATCAAAGTTAAATTTCCTTCCATTAATTTCCTTCCAAAGTTAAATACTTGTCCCCTTTTACCCCTGTCTACCTCTACCTCCCCTACTTCCCTCTAATCCACTGTTCATGTCCATGAGTCTCTGTTGTCATGTTTGTTTGTTGCTTTCCGTTTTATATCCCACATATGAGTGAAATCATATGATTCTCAACTTTTTGTCTCACTTATTTTGCTTAGCATGGTAATCTCAAGATCCATCCATGTTGTCACAAATGGCAGTATTTCATCTTTTCTTACGGCTGAGTAATATTCCATTGTATATATGTACCACATCTTCTTTATCCAGTCATCTGTCAATGGACATTTTGGTTGTTTCCATGTTTTGGCCACTGTGGACAATGCTGCTATGAACATCGGGGTGCATATATCTTTGAGGATAAATGTTTTCAAGTTATTTTAGGTAAATACCTAGAAGAGGGATTGCTGGGTCATATTGTAATTCTATTCTTAGTTTTTTGAGGCACCTCCATACTGTTTTCTATAGTGGTTGTATCAGTTTGCATTCCCACCAGCAGTGTGTGAAGGTCATCCCTTTTCCCCCACAACCTCTTTAACACTTGTTATTATTTGTCCTGTTGATGATAGCTATTCTAACAAATGTGAGGTATCTCATTGTGATTTTTATTTGCATTTCCCTAATTGCTACCGAAGTTAAGCATCTTTTCATATGTCTGTTGGCCATTTGGATGTCTTCTTGAGAAAAGTATCTGTTCAGGTCCTCCGCCCATTTTTTAACAGGATTAATAATAAAATTGATCCACTATATCCAAAATACTATTTTAACATGTAGTCAGTATTAAATGATTATAAATGAAGTATTTCACATTCTTTAAAGAGCTCAATAGCTACATGTGGCTAATGACTATTGTACTGGACAATACAGTTATAGACAATCAAAATCCATAGGAAACTCATATGTATAAATAAAACACATTTTAAGTATCATAGTTCTCTATTATGTTTATGGATCCATCTTTTTCTTTACATTCCTACGAGCCTATTAAGTATCTTAGACACATTATTCTAGCCCCCACTACACCCCCCGCATAAGTATCTGATTCCTTTTGGAATATCAGTGACATCTTTTATAGTTTTGGCAAGCGAGTTCCCAAGAGCCAGAATTTAAGTAATGGAGTATTAAAAGTGTCATGATCTAAATCCTTTATATGTCTTATCTGAAAGACGTTTTTTCTTATGTGTCTTAGGAGATGCCTTTGTGGAAGTCATATACATATATACTTAATCTTGTATTTTATCTAAACTAGTGAAGTAAATATTTTAATGTAAAGTCTAGATGTTAAAATCAGAGTAGACAGAAGGGTGATTTTTGGCTTGGTGAGTGATGGTGGGATGCCCTGTATTAATAAATGTCATCTAAAGTCCTGTGATGTTAGTTAGGTTTCAAATAAGTTTTATAAAGTCTTTTAGTTAGGTTAAAATTTGGTTTTAAATGAGTTTTCATATTTTACAGTGCTGTTTGTATAGTTTGAGTTCTGAAAATATTATAGCTTAGTTAGGATTTATGTAAAACAACTTTTTATCTTGGTAATTACTATTCAACTGAGGGCTCCTATTTGGATTTTTTGGCTCCAGTTGGCAACCACTATTTATTGGATTTTTTTTGTTAAATTTCAAGTTTTTGTTGCAGTTACTCTTTTTTCTTTTCTTTTTGGGGCTATATTGTGTCTATTCTAAGTATGTAATGCATTGGTTTCTAAAACATGATTTTTAGCAACTTCTCCCATGTTTTTGTCTTATACTGATGATGACTATAGGCTGCACACATGTAACTAGATAAAGGATAATGATAGATTTGAGAATGAAGGTAAAGAGGAGGGCTGTCAGTAAGGATGTCAAGAGAGGTTGATGAGTGATCAGAGTAAGAGATGCTTGCCTCTTAAGCATAGTTGAGATGAAGCGAGATGAACTGGGTTGAGATAGAGAAGAGAAAATAGACTTTAATGGTTTAAGTGGTGCTAACTCACTGTCCTCTTTGACAGATTTAAGTGCTTTCACACCTTCCAGATAGTTATCATGTTAGAGTATATTTTTAACATTTGAACTTCCAAAGTCTGTTTGGCAGTTTTGAAAGCTACAAATATATAATTGAAGGATGTTATCCAGATTTAGAAGTTAACTCTTTAAGTCAAAGATTATAAAAAAAAAGCTGAAACTTCTATTCTACTACTGTGTTAGAGTCTGATCTTATGCACCTAAAAAACAAAAACAAAAACAAAAACAAATTCTGTTTGACCTGAGCAAAACTACTTACTAAGCTCTTATTTTAAAATGTGCAGGCATCAAGTTTAATCATTTAGGCAGAGATAAACAATGTAATATTTTAAATGTATATGAAGTACAGATTAAGTGTGACAAAAAGGAGAAGACTACCTGTGAAATGAAAGTGTAAGAATTAAAATATTGCATCAGTTTCTTAAAATTTTAAGGATTCAGTAAGAACAAATGTAAAAATTTGAAAGTATTTAAGTTATTTAAGCTCTCATGGAGAAAGGTGTATTTTAAAATGGGAGAAACTTTTTAAAGCAATACATTGCTAGGTTTTCTCGAGCTCTTTGGATAGAAACTACACCTTTAAAAGCTAACCATTCAGAGTATAAATTAATGATTATTGAATTACAATTTTCAGTCTTTTAACTCCAAAATATGTCTTCTGTTAGTGTTAAAATATATTAAACTTTTATTAATCTAATTCAGAGTTATCCATGTTAAAACGTTTCAGTTTTTCTACCTTTGCTGTTGGTTTTCAAAAACAGCAACAGACTATATCCTTAAAGGTGTTTCTTTCTTTATTAGAGCACTTGTTTTCAAAGAGTGGCGGGGACTGCACTTTTTTTCATCAATTCATAGAATGCCAGAGTGAGTACAGAGTATTTTTCACATTGATTTTAATGAAGTTAGGGGCTAAAATTGAAAAATAACAGAAAAAATTAAGATCTCAGTGTGTTTTTTATTGTAGCAGTGTACAAAGAACCATCTTCAGATAGTAGTGAACTTTTTCATACTGTTTATGTTTCTCTCTTTTGAGAAAAATATTTCTGTTGTAGTCTCCTTCACAGATGGAGGTGAACACTTCATATTGCCCACAGAAAAAGAGGAAGTTTGAAGCTCGTTAATTAAAAATCGTTATTGAGCAGGATATAAAATAGAATGTCAAGAACCTATACTTTCTGTGTGGCTACTTAAGAGAGTAATACTGTTAACCTGTTTTAATTTAATTTAGTTTTATTTTTTATCATTTATTTGTTTGTTTGTTTGTTTGTTTATTTTTACATTAACCTGTTTTAATTAAACTCTAATTCTGTCACAGATTTGGATTTTGAGATTCTTAAATAAATTTCTTAAATGATTAAGTGAAGCCATAAAAACAGTGACTTAGTTTGGACACTCAGTTATGAAGATGGCCATTATGGTAGCAGGTGTTTCTAGAGAAAGGAGTAGCAACAGATTGTCCTATAGTCTGACATCAACTGCCTACCCTAAGGAACTTATACAAGGATATCTTTAATAATATTTTAAAGCTAGATAGACTTGCTTTTGAGGTAGACCTCTGCTGAATTCTGAACAAAAGTATCGTGATTTTTTCTTACTTGAAAATCACGTGGCTGCTTAAATTTGTTAGTCATGAGGTTGAGATATTCTTGATCTTGTTAGTCACAATTAAAGGTCACTATGTGTTGTATAGTTCTTTGATGATATTTGTACTTTTTTCTATCAGACACATACTTTGTCAGGCATTTTTCTCTTCCCATTAGCGCTCTCTTTTGAAATGAGTGTTTTTCCATATTTTTATGCTCACAAATTCATTTAGTGAGTGTGTACACATGTGCAGTGTGCCCCTTACCCCATCTCAGGAGCATTTGGGGTTTGTAAGGGTCTTACCTGGCAATTAGAGCAGACACAAACTCAGCAGATTAAATATACTCCTTAGAGATGCTTTTAAAGGGATTTCACATAATAATTTAGAAAGCTTCTGTTTTTGTCCATTTTAGACACTATAATGTTGCATATATAAGTTTAATATTACTTTGAGGCAAATTATTTAACAAATATAACATTTCTTTAACTTTTAAAATTTTTTGGAAAAAAAATTTATGAAGCAAAAATATGTGCATCTTTTTGTTATCTTTTGTTATCTTTTTATTACTTTTTGTTATCTTTTTATTATTTCACTTTTAGAAGAAATTGGTACCCACTGAAACCAATTAAAAGCAGAATATATAATCGAAAGTATAAATCTTTAGGACTTTATACTTAGTTTTGTTGCATGCGACCACTTGTTTGAGCTATATTTTTATTTATTGCACATATTTACACTTTCTTCAGCCAGCTATATGTCAGAATTGTCACTTGTCGTGTATGAGAAGGTACAGCTTTCTAAGAATAGCAAGGGAATGATTTTGCAATGTAGACAGGGTGACAAGTGGAGTCCTCCTTTATCTATTTGCTTTAAGCACCTTGGAAACTATTTTATAGTTTAGATAGATCTGGAATAAGCTGTGACAGGAACAGGTGATTTTTTTGACAAGCCGAGGAGTGATATTATGACCAAAAAAGGAATATGCTTACATATCATCTTTGTCTCTTCTTTGCATTATACCCAACCAGCAATATAGATGTGTTTTATCAGTCTCAAGGTGGCCCCTTCTGTATATCCTTAGTTGTAGAAATTCTATTCATCTAAACTTCAGGCAATTTTCAATGATGGTTGTTCTGTAGTTGTAATTTTGGTGTCATGAGAGGAAGCAAACACAGCATTTACCTACTCTGCCATCTTGACTGGAAATTTTATATGTAACCATTTTTTAATGTTATCTTTATTTTGAACTTTTGGGATTTATATTTTGAGCCTAAGGAAGTAAGAACAGAGAACTATCAAAAGAATGTTTTACTAACAGTTCTGGAATCATTTAAAATATTATAAAATATGTAAAATATTTAGCTGTAGTTGTAACACAGAATGTTTAAGTAAAGAAAATGATATTTGGAGGCCTTTATCGAGTCACAGTTACTGGGAGAAAATGGACCAAATAAACAGTCAGAATTTATATGTAAATTACAACAATCCTCTCAATAGGGAAATTAGCCAGTGAAATGTTTACGAGAACTATGTAATGACGTTGGAAAATGCTAAATGCAGTACATGGGTGAGGAGAGGAGTGAGTATAAAATCCTGTACTTGTGAACAAAAAATGAACCAAGGAGCAGAAAAAAAAAAAAAAGGCAGATATTTCTAGACATCTGAATCCATTTGGTCCCTAAGTGCAAACAGTGAAAGTTGAGACTATAAATTTAGCTAGGAATGAAGCCCATTATCTGAATCTGTTTGGTTTCTGAGTTTCAGTATCAAGTTGCTTAATGAAGATACTAGTTTTATCTCATTTTTTCAAATATGTTTGGCTTTTAAATTTGGATAGAGTTGGCATAGTAAGGGTTATCTTTGGTTGAATTTGTTATCAGAAGGGAAATTTTCATTATTTTATAACAGGTTGCCATTATAGAAACTGTTATGTTTAATAAGTATTATGGCAAGCAAGGCAATTTTAGCAAAAATCTTACACAAATGAGCTTTTGAAACACTTGGATTATTTTTTGTCAAGCACATACAAACTTTTTTACCATTATTTTCATATATAGGCATCTTGAACTGATTTATGATCTTGAACATGAAGTGCATATTTGTGAGCAGTGAGACTTCATATTCTTGTTTCCAGTCTCTTAAAAAGCAAATATTAAATAGCTAGCTTTCATTATTTACTGTACTCATATAGAATAAATTCACCTTTATTTTAAAAATTAGAAAGCAAACGATTCACTTCTATATTTTTAATTTATTGAGGTGTTTTTTTTGTTTGTTTGTTTGTTTTTGCAGTTTATGTGTGTGAATCCATAAGAGACAATTTGGTTGTTGACTCTCTCAGTTTTAAGGTGATTTGAGGAAATTAAATGAGTTGGAACACATTTCAATTTGTTTTCCTTTTATGGTAAAATACACTGTGTTTCTTTTAATTCTTTTTAGGAAGAAAACTTAATCCCAGGCAAAGAGATTAGATTTTGAACGGATTTAAATATAACTTTTTGCATAATTCCAGAATTGTGAACTAAATTTTCTGTATAAAAATACACCATATAAAATCTAAAATTAACCACTAACTTTAGTAAAACTTGATATAAAGCTCGAGCAATATTTCCTTCTTCAGCGTTTCAGGAATGAAGTTTGGTTTAAGGAGGACTCTACATTTGATGTTCTCTGCAAATTTTAGTTACTTCCAGTTTACCACAAAACTTAATGAATATGTTGAGACTTTTGTCTGCTGAAAATGCTTTCTCAGTTAAATCGTGCATCTCTAAATCTGTTTCATACATATTTCTTGAACTTTTGTCACTTGGTTAACTTGTATGCTGAGTGAAAAGATAAAGTGTAAAATGTGAATCTAAGGACTTAGATCCCTGCCATCACTTCATGGGCATAGAGTGAAAGACAGCCTTCTCTGGATTGCTGCTTGCCCCTTTGATTTCTCTTGCTGTCATCTGCCTGGGAGAGGGCAGAGGCATCATTGCTGGGTGCCAGAGAAATTTTCCTCTGAGATATACTTTGTAGAGATAAACTGTGCCCTACTCCAAGGGCATCTCCCTTTTGAAGATGGCATTAACAAGTGCCCTGAAATAAACCTCATGTCTTTATATTCTTAATCCATGCTTACTAGGAGACTTAATGGTTTTTATTTATTTATTTATTTATTTATTTTTACACAAATTAACTCATTTATTATAGGCTAGCAGTGTTTCAAATTGTGGAGCTTCTACCAGTCTTTGAATTCCTTCAGTCTTCTGATGGCAGACTTTACTGTTAGGGCAGAAATGGTGGTGTAGGTCCAGGCACCACCAGCTACCATTTTCATGCAGGAACTACAGTGACAGATCCCCACAGCTTGTCTCTTCATCTTGGTTTTGCCACAGGAGCAAGTGTATTTGACATGCTGGCTGATTTCTATTCTCTTCACTATTTTCCTGAGGGAGGTGCCATAATGGGTCTTGTATTTACCAATGATTACGACCTTCTTGATGTATTTAGCCACGTCGCCACAAACTCGGTTGGAATACAGAGAGCCGGTTTTTATTATTATTAGGCAAGAGTCTAATTTTCTTGATATTTCATGTCTTATTGGTTTTTTCCCAATTTAAAAAAAAATTCTTTCCTTGCCTCCTACCCCCATTTTGAAACTATAGTCACTCCTCTCATTCCCTCCTTCTTTCTCTTTCTCTTCTAAGGCTTTGCTCTCACACAGAAATTGCCTTATTTGGAGTAATACATTAAATCAGTGTTGTTCTTGTGACTGTTTACTGTTCATCACTTATGAGATCAGCCTCTTTGAACAATCTCTGAATTATTCTGATTACATATTCAACTTGAAACAGTCTTAAATTTTTTTCATTTTTTAAACTTTCATTTCTCTAAGCCAAAGCAGTTTATGACAAAGAATAGAAACACTTGGTGTGGTTCCCTCCCGGCTCATAGTAGTTTATGCCCTGTCCCCATTAAAGGAAAATTCTTAAGTTTAAATTAGGTGTTGCTAATTTTCTGTTTCTTTGTTCTTAGAGTAGTTGTCCAATCTAGAATATATTGGAGAGTTTTTGTTTGTTGTTTCTATGAACCAGTCATTTCTCTAGTCAGCTAGCTTTCCAGCTTTCTACCAGATTTCCTCCCAATATATAACAGCACAGAAGATAGTCTTAAAATTCATGCCAGTAGTGATTTAGTATGTAGATTTTTTTTAAAGATCTGTTTTCATATTCTTGAAATTGGTCAAGTCATTTAGTTTTTAATCTGCCCTTGAATTCCAAATATTTTTCCTCTTTTGTTCTTCCTTATTCTTAGGTTTTAGGACAAATAGCTTCTGGAACTGTTTTTATGAAAATGCAGACTATGATAGCAGGAATTGCTTTTGCTAATTTTATTTTGTTGCAGAAATTAATAACCTTGTGAAACTCTGTATTATTAAAATTAGCAACCTCACAGGACCTCCCCCGTGAGGTTCTAAAGCTCTATTTTTACTTCGAACTGCTACTCTCTAAAGGGAAATTGTTGGCTTGATGTTGAATGCTGATTGTTAATTTTTACTTTGATCGTATGTTGATGTTAATTCTAATCTCAGTTTCTTTGCCATTTCTCTTTAATAACTCTTTAGATGACTTTAGCTTATTTTCATTTCTGATGTTTAGAATAGGATCAGAGGAATCTTGATGTGAATTTTGATTTGCTCCCTCACTAGTAGTTATGTATCTGGGCAGTATGACCTCTTTAAACTTCAATTTCCTCATTTATAAAGTGGGATGATAGTACCTAGTTCATAGGATTATTATGAAAAGTAAATGAGATGGTATTTACTGAGCCCTCTAAGTAATGCCTGGCACACACATTAGTGATAGGTAGAAAACTTACTTGGGGTGGGAGGCAGTGGGGAGAGGATTTTAGTGGGAGCTTTCTTATTGAAGTAACTTCTTTTCCTCCTTTGCATTCCCAGTCACAAGATAGTGAAAGTTGATTGATATAGCTTTATTGTTCCTATTAAAGTAATATGTTTCTGACACTCTAGAAATTAACTTTTTAATTACCAGTATGCGTGACATTTTAAAAAGTTGGTCTCAAGCACATTATTTTGATGCCCTAGTCATAACATTATTTTTTGAATGAAACCTAACTTCAAGATTTAGAAATATTTTCCACGTTGGCAGTACAACATCAGAGTATATATTTCTTTTATTTTTGTCTACTCTTCTGTCAATTTATTTAAGATCCCTAGGCAACCGATATCAGTAACTGATAGTCAATACTGTTTATCTTCTGCTTTCAATTGGTTGTAGCTGTTAAGTGAGGAAAGTGGCTCTTTAAGCTTTAAGAACTGAATCCAGTCTAGGCATCCCTGTGCTCCTGTTGAGCTTCTTTTGAATACATTGTTTGTGTTTTTTTAATTTTTATTTTGTGTGTATAGTAGTATATTTAGTACATAATTTATTTTTATAAGCCAAGAAATAAATTTGGTTCTGTTCTATTCAGACTTTGACAAGATTTGATCATCTTTGCAACTCTACCATATGTTTTCTGACTAAACTAAGTGTTTAGGTGATGATTCTCAAATGTCAGACTTATTATACCCATCAGTTCTACTCCTTGGTAGGTTCCCTACAGAAATGTTTACGACATATGTATAGGTACAAATTTAAGAATGTTCACATCTTCATTATTCACAGTAGTTCAAAACAACCTGAAAGACCTTCAGTAGTCAAATGGATAAATACATTGAGGTATATTGGATGAAAGAAGCCTGATATAACAGAATACATACCGCAGTATTCAATTTATATAAAGTTCAGAACCACTAAAATTATATTGTATTATTTAGCCATGCATATTTGGGTAGTGTGACTATAAAGAAATGCAAGAAATTAAATACCATAAAAGTCAGGATTGGAAAGGGGAATGTGGAGGCTCTGGGGGTGGTGGTTAGGTTCTGTTTCTTAATTTGGGGTGTAGTCTGCAGACATTTGCTTTAAAAAATTTTATTAACCTGTGCTTTTGTGTTTCATGCCTCTTTTATGTGTTGTTGTTTTTCACAATATGGTTTTAAAATAGGGGAAAATGAATAATCGTTTCTCTAGAGTATCCTTCAAAAAGAGAATTTTCAAAAAGAAAGAAAATCCTCTACTTTATCTTTCAGTTGTGCCAAGGCAAATAGCTCTTTTAAAACCTGCAGTTATCATTACAGGGAAGTTCTCTTTTGAGTCTCTGAGGGGTCTCTGACTTTAGTACTCCTAAAGAATTGAAGTCCCCACTCCAAGTTTGAGAACCAGTGGTTAGGAACTTTTTTAAAAACAATATTTTTTTCTTCTTTAATCCCAGGCCACTAATGATTCACAAGATTTGATAAAATAACCTGAAATAATTTCAATATTGATAATAGCAGCAGTTGATTATTATTTAGCACTCATGTACTAGTACTATTCAAAACTTTTTATATGTATTTGTTAGTTTTAGAATGAGAACATTCAAATAGTTTTTTCAACTTTGGACTCTTTAAAAATAGATGCTCAATTCATTCATTCATTCACCAACTATGTATTAAGTATCTACTATGTATATACCAGGTGTAATTTTAGCTGTTATGGGTATAGAAATGAACAAGACAAAGCTTTGCCTTCATGGAATTTACATTTTCTTGAAGAGACAAAAACTAATAAACTAAAAATATGTCAAGTAGTGATAAGTCCATTGAAGAAAAGTAAAAGAATATAAGTCAGTAGAGAACGAAAATGGTAGTGTGTGGGATTTGATCAGAGATGCAGCAAAGCTGTATGAGTTGTACATGTATCTGGGGAAAGGGTGTGTGAGATAGAAATTGTTTGAAAACCCAAAGTGGATCTGAAATTGGAGTTTTAGAATAATAAAAATGCCTTTAAAAAATAATAAAGGACCAGATCGTAAATATTTTAAGCTTTGCAAGCTATAAGATCTCTGTTGCAACTACCAAACTGTGCCATTGTAGTGGAAGCAGCCATGGTCAATCTGTAAATGAATAGACCTGGCTGTGTTCCTATAAAACCTTACCGAACAGGCAGCAGGCTAGATTTGGCCCTGTGAGGCTGTAGTTGGCTCACCCCTGGGTTATATCATATAGACCATGTAGGTCATGGTAGGGACTTCAGATTTTGTTCTAAGGGTGACAGAGTTTTAAGCAATAAATTACTATTTATGTATGTTTATCATTTTTAAAATAAAATATTTAGATATTCAACATACTAGAGGAAGTTTGGAATGGCTTTCAAAATCTGTGTTTATATTATTTTTTTATCTGCTATATTCATGTAACAAACATTTGTGGAACCTGTATTTTTGTCGGAATTGTTAGGAATTAAATTATTAATAAGATACCTCCCTGCTTTCATTAAAACTCTAAATTCCTAGATTATCACTCTTGATAATCTTTGAGAAGTACCTAGTACTATACATGATGCATAGTAAATATTTGAAGGAATGACTATATAATTCCTTAAAGAGTTCATAGTATTTTGGAAAAGGTAGACATAAATAGTTGCAATAGCTTAACAGAGATATGGATTAAAAGCTCTGAAAGAGAAGAGGAGAGCAATACCAAATCCATCTACAGGAAAAAGGAAGAGAAGATAAATTCCATTTTACACATAGTGAGATTAAATTCCTGTGAGATTTCTGGATGAAGATGTTTAGGAAGTAGTTAGACAATAGTGTTCTGGGACCTAAGAGAGAAATCTAGACTAGGCATCCACATTTAGAAATTATTCAAATGTAGCAGGTTGTTAATACCATTAAAAAAGAATTTTTGTTGTTGACAGAGATCTTGAAGACTAACAAGTATTTAGATCACAAACAGAAGAAAGGAAGGCCAATGAAGCATGAAAAGGAAGGAATGAGCAAGCACATAAAAGAAGTAGGAATGAGTGGTATCCTAGAAGTCAAAGGAAAAGAGTTTTAAAAGAGAGGCAGTAATTTTTTGATTTAATATGGTAAATGAAGCCATTCATAGTAAAAGATTATAAAAGACAAAAAGAATAGGAGTGGAGACTATAGCAGATAATAGATGTCAGCAAAATTTTGGAAGATATAAAACAGATAATTGAGTGGTAAGAGATTTGGGTTTTTATTCTTTTATTTTAAGGGCCTGTGAATGGGGAAAGGTGAAGGAAGCCCCCCAAAATCAAGTTAAAACTATGGCTCAGATATCAGAAGCACTCATTACCTGTCAGGCAGGGCAGGAGAACAAGGTGGTATTGAGAGCAGGTTTAAAAGTTTGTGTAAGGAATTGTCTGACTCTCATTTTTCTTCCCCCAGTCCATGCAGACAGACAAGTGTCTCTTTCCTCCCATATAAAGACTGAAGGTTTGATCTCTGGAGGTGAAATGGAGAGTCTCTAGACTAGGATACTTCAGGCATTGCTGAGGGTGGGCAATGAGCATCTTACCGGAAAAATAAAGTGGGAAAATCAAATGAAAGTCTGTATATTGAATCAGAGTGCTGGTGACCAACTTCACACTCTCCAGAAAGGAGCTTGAGAGAATTCTACTCCAGGGAAACTGATCAGACCAAGAGAAAACACTGATACTGACATTTGAAAGTCTCCAAACAACCTGTCACTGTGTGTGTGGC